AATGCTTCTGAACCAACTAATTTCAAAAGTAATAAATACAATTTCCCCTCAAAAATAGAATAAAAGAAGCAGAGTGTATAAACGAACCATCAGCTGTGCAAAGGAAAATATTACCAGCTGGCAAAAGCAAAATTACAATTTTGAGCCATCATTTGCCTTTACCTGCAGACTAGTTTGTAGGAGAGTTCAGTGGCTCTTAGAAGTTGCTACCTGGCCAGAATTTTACAGTCTTGACCACTATCTCACCATCTTGGCCTGTGGCCAGCAATAGAATATAAAACCTCATGAAAAAGATTCAGCTGAGTCAAATTTCCCGTCTGCAGACATGAGTCATCACTTGCTCAGGTATACTTGCAAAAAGATGTCACGTGGGGTGGCTGCATTTGTAGTGTAAAATGCATATGTGTGCTAAGTTCTGAACATGGTGTGCATGTGTGTGTGTGTGTGTGTGTGTTACCAGATAGCCATCTTCTTTGGGGCTCTTTTAAAAATAACTGATAAAAACACCCTCTTTGGGGGTTGGAAGGTTAGGAATAGTTCTGGTTAGTAGCAATTATCACAGCTTAAATAGCAGGGGTATTTAAAATGAGATTTGTCATAGTGATCACTTGTTTGAAGTAGTCAGTCGGGAAATATGTCCTCTTTTTCACTTTTCAAAATATGGTAACTCTAATATGTGTTTGTGTGTAAGTGTGTGTGAGGCCAGTGTGCAAGAGGCATGTGAGAAGACTGCTACTGTTCTAACAAGACGCATGTGAGATGGCAGGTACCCTTTTGCAAGACATTTGGTGAGAATTTGAAGAACTGTGCTTGATCTCCCAGCTACTACTGAGCAGATAAGCCAGCAAACCAGCCCAAATTAGAATCTGAGCTGTTAGGCCCTTAAAAAATGACTTTGTTGTCCTTGTGAAGCAAGGACTCTGCATTTACTCAGAGGATATGGGAAAGGAATAATCCCATATGGGTAAATGTTTGATACCAATTAGATCTTCAGTTAACATCATATCCATCATATACTTATTCATACATTTAAAAGGCATAAAGTGAATGCATTGAAGTTGGAGGGATGGAAACATGGCATCAAACTCTAGAAGAGGAAGAGATTGGATTTATACCCCGCCCTTCACTACCTGAAGGAGTCTCAGAGCGGCGTACTATCTCCTTTCCCTTCCCTTCCCCACAACAGGCACCCTGTGAGGTAGGTGGGGCTGAGAGAGTTCTTTCAAGAACTGCTCATGAGAGAACAGCTCTAAAACAACTTGTTAACTAACTCAAGGCCACACCAGCAGCTGCATGTGGAGGAGTAGGGAATCGAACCCGGTTCTCCCAGATTAGACTCCATGCTCCTAACCAGTACTTCGAACCAGCTCTACCCCTTGCTGTCTGTAAATTTTGATGTACAAGTACATCATTTGTATGCATATAAGGTCTATGCATAGACCTACTAACAAGATCACACTTTTTCTGTCACCTGCCCATATCTGTTTAGTCTAAAAAGAGTTACATATGAGCAATATAAATTACATGTGAGCAATAACAAACATTACTTGCTCAGAAGTATGGGTATTTTTCATGTCTCATAGTTTACATGGGTTGCACTGTTTGTTTGTTTTTTAATTAAATACAGATGAAAAGCATGTTGCCAATATCTCCCTATGCTTGGTCAAATGACCGTAACAATAAGTAAACTAAACTAAACTATCTCCCTCTCACTTTACCATCAAACAGAAGTGCTATAATCTTTTAAATTAAAAAGTAGCAATCTCAGTGGCTCACCATGCACATCAAGCAAATTTGACACACCACCATGAACCTTTATTTTTGTAATGCTTGTGGTAGAATAGTGAACATTGTGCAGTTCATATGTTGAGAGGCACTTCTGCACAAATAGCTCACTGTATGATAATCACAGGGTCACTTATTTGTTTTTTTGTTTGTTTTTTTGGCCCCCCGGAAGGGGATTTTTTTATTACATTTTTCTAAAGACTACAAATCTACAACGAAAATAGGGAAAAGGAACTACAATTAGGGATAAAGAAAAGAATACCCACTACTATCTAAAAACCCAAGAGAGGAGATCCTCAAAATCGCTTAAGTACAAAGTCAGTTCTAAACTCGCTAACAATTTTTGAACTTAGTCAGGTCTGCTAATACAACTTTTGAATCTTAAATTAACTGTTAAAAAGAAAAGCCCCAAAGCATCTCGTTACAATCAACCCTTTTCAAAGGCACAATAAAGAGTCCTTCAGCCTTCATTTCTTCTTATCCTGTCTTCTTTGCAGAAGGGCAAAGACTTCGCCGGATCTCTTGGGGGGCAACAAACTTGCGTACCCCCTCCTTCCCACTCGTGTGCAGCTCGCATCCCCGGGAGGTCCAGGAGATGCGACTGCTCAGTATGCCGCCATCCACCGGAAGTCAGGGTCACTGATTTGTTAACGTTTCTGCTTCATAACAGAATGTCCAAGTCTGTCACTGCTAAGTTACTGTAGGTTTACTTCAGTTTTGCAGAAGTGACATTCTATTCTGCTTTAAGGCAAAAGTTAGTTCCTGCATCATCATGATTTCAGGAACACAAGAGTAATGACAAATTTGCAACCATGGGTCCATGGGGTTGTGAAGAGTCGGAGTCGACTGTGTGAATGAACAACAAGAACAAGCATAATGATACGTGCACCAGTATACATTTTTATTCTAAAGACTTCAATAGACATATAATAAATTGTTTATTAATTCCATTAATAAACTGCTGTAGTTGCACTGGATTATTGATTCAATTTCCCATTAGGTATGATAGTAGCAGTGGTTACCAATTAATAAGAGTGTCTCGTTGCTCTAAGATACAGTACCAGAGAAAGCATTGCTAGTATCTCTTCAACAGCCAGAATCATATGGTAGCTTCTAGGGATGAGCATGGATCCAAACACCGAGCCAAGTACTGCCTGGACTTTGCACAGTTTGGGGCTCGTGAGCTGAGTTCTGGGGAAGGCGCCTTCCTCAGACACTCACCCCAAGCCCTTTCGGCCCATCATGCACCCACCACTTCTGGGTGGCATTGGGGCCTGCCCTGCCCCAGCGTGTTCACATTACCTGGAAGTGATACAAGTGGATCACTGACATGCTTGCATCACTTCCAGAAAACACGGGCATGCCAGGGGGCAGGGCCCAACACCACCTGAAAGTGGTGGGTGCACATTGCTTCCAGGTAACACAGGCATTCCGGCTTTTCTACGAAATGACCCCTGAACACAGGCATTCCATTCTCTTCAGGGGGGTTGTGACTTGGGGGTTCAGTCCAAGGTTCAGTCTGGGGCCACCTGGCTCACAAGCCCCAGACCAAACCAGGATGTGCCCATCCTTAGTAGCTACTGTGAAGAACTGATTGATGTGATAGATTACTCCTGAAGCAAACTTTAAGGATTTGTTTTCCCTTTTGTCTCTCTTTATTAGATCGAATTGCACAGAATATCATCAAGTCCCATCTGGAGACATGTCAATATACGATAGAGGAACTACATCAGCTAGCCTGGCAAACCCACACATATGAAGAAATCAAAGTATACCAGAGCAAGGTACCATTCTGCAAAAAAATGTCTTTTGCTTCTCTTGTTCCTTCATAACAACAGTCATTCCATTTATTTATTTCTGTGCTGTTGATCACTTAGCAAATTCCATGGTGCATGAAGACTTGACAAGGACGTTATAAAATAGGGATGATCTTATTATATCCTCAGTATAGCCTATGTTACTTCTTTACTTGTCTGAATAGGGTTGCCAGGTCTCCTGCTATAGCGGTAGATTGGTGGTGGTGGGGAATCACATTGTGTCAATTGTGTGATGTCATTTCCATGTCAAACCTGGCTGTTGATACAATGGCACCCTTGTCACTGTCTCCCCTAGCCTCCCACCAGTTGCCAGCCACTGGCTGGCAACCCTAGTCTCAAATTCAGGAAAATAATCCAGGCAAATTCTGGTTTGGTAAGAACAACCTAAGTACAAAGGTCATGCCTACCTGGATCTTGCATGGCTATGTGGAGTCAGAAAAAGTATGTGTCAGACTCCTGCAGTAATCAGTTCCCAACAGCTTTCATTCAAAGAAGTAAAGTTTATTGAGACATTGAGCGTATGCATATATTATGGCACCTCCAGTGTTAGAACTGGCCTAAAACCCGCAAAGCAAGCAGATATACATTATTCAAGAGGGTCCCCTGTTGGCTCAGGTCCAATCAGAAGCCAGGTAGAAACCCGCCAAAGTAACAGGCAACTATTCTCAGGAGAACAGTACACCAGACACTCAAGGTTGAAGACTTCGGTTACATAGATAAAGTAAGACTGGGAATACAGCAGAAATGAAAGTTAAAATTCCAGAGTCCCCCCACACACCCATAGCAGCTAGAACAGCCAGAGGCCTAGCTGACAGTATGAACCATAAGTAAAACCTGGGTTGTCATTTCTGCAGATGCAGGTATGCTAGAACTAATTTTAAAAATGGGGTGGAATGCTAAATATTATGGGTTTTCTATCAGCAGACTGGAAATTTTCTGCCTGCTCCTTGCAGCCTACTGATCTAAGGAAATGCTGGACTTTGAGTAACAGGCTAAGAATAGAATCAGATAGAAGTGAATCCACAAAAATAGCATACATCGATCAAATGGAACAAAGGAAGAACTCAATAAGCAAGGAGCAACCTGTCAAGAGTGCTCAGCAGGCACCAAATACACCAAATAAGCCTGCTCCAGAACAACCAACGTTTTATATTGTGCCTAAAAAGCAAGAAGAGCTATACAGACCTTGCTTTAGAGGGCATTCTATATTCCAGGCTCTGTATCAGAAAAGCAGTGTCCCAATTTGACCACCATATTGCCAAGGGTGGAGGAACATGGAAGATGGCCTCAGATCATGCTCTAAGCATTTGGGAAGGCTTATATAGAGGCTAGGAGCTGCGGTGGCTCAAGTGGTTAAAACGCTGAACTGCAGGCTGTGGAAGGTCAGTAGTTCAGCAGTTCGAGACCCGGGTGCCGCATGACAGAGTGAGCTCCCATCTCTAGTTCCAGCTCCTGCCAACCTAGCAGTTCGAAAGCAAGAAATTGCAAGTAGATAAATAGGTACCGCTTCGGTGGGAAGGTAACATCGTTCCGTGTGCCTTGGTGTTTAGTCATGCCGGCCACATGACCACGGAAACGTCTTCGGACAGTGCTGGCTCTTCGGCTTTGAAACGGAGATGAGCACCGCAACCCTAGAGTCAGACTTGACTGGCTTTCGAGGAAGGGAAACCTTTACCTATATAGGGGCTAGCCTTCAAAATGGATTTTTTTTTTACAGTTTCAAGGGTCAAAAACAGATTATAAAGAGGGAGCATTTTCAGAATTAGTCTTATCTGGCTTAACAAAGTTTGAGTCCAGTGGCACCTTTAAGAATCTTGTCTGGCTGTTACTGAAATATGCGTAGGAGTGGCCAGATGACACTGGGAAATTATCAGATCCTTTTTATTCCAAGGTAGTAACACTTGTCAGTGACCCCAGTATAACCCTAGGACCAGGAGTAAACATAATACATGTTTTTTACCCTACGGTGCATTTACTTGGCCACTGACTTCAGTGGAGGGATCTGCTCTTATATTACTGACTGATTGATGATGCCTTTTGTCTTCCTCTCTTCCATACATCCAAGCAGATCAAAAGGTTGGCTGATAGACAACAGGGTTATCTCCCCTCAGTTCTTAAGTTCCTGTTAGGCAGTGTTGTCAGCTCCCCTTCCCTCAGAATCCTAATTTAAACATAACAGAAGTTGTAAGTGACTTGTGCATCAACATTTAGAATTCATGTTTTGGAACTACTACCCACAGGGTTGCAATAAAAATAGTATATAGTCCTCTCTGTTTCCTCTCTGTCTTTGCTGTGGGGAGTCAAGAGGCCTGTGACAGATCTGAAATGAAGAAAGATCATTCTGCAGATAACTCTGGCATCAATTGTTTCTGACAGGCTCAGATTTTCTTGGATTTTACTTATTTTATTCAATTTTTATCCTGCTCTCCTCATCACAGGCAGGCTCAGGGCGGCTTACAATAAGGGTTAAAACCACATTATAACACAAACATGACAAGCATAGCTCAACAATAAAATAGAATAAAAAGAAAACAAAGTGCTGGTGACAATAACAACCATGATAGATGTTCCCAAAAAATGGTTTATTGAACAACAGCTTGTGGGTTTAGGCTCTAAATAATCATTGATTTCCCAGATTTCAAATCAGTGCAGTTCAAAAAATCCCAGTGAAACCACCCCTTTAAAAACCGTTCACATTTCCAAGTGGTCTCTAAATAGGATTCCCTTCCCTCACAAATGTACTTAGTGCACATAAAAACCACTAAATCAATGAGTTAGTAACAGTGCATAGGCTGGAGTCGCCGAAGACATGTCTCTATCAGCCTAGATTATTTATAGATGTTCCCAAAAAATGGTTTATTGAACAACAGCTTGTGGGTTTAGGCTCTAAATAATCATTGATTTCCCAGATTTCAAATCAGTGCAGTTCAAAAAATCCCAGTGAAACCAAAGCAAGCCAGTTACCCTTTTAAAAACCCTTCACATTTCCAAGTGGTCTCTAAATAGGATTCCCTCCCCTCACAAATGTACTTAATGCACATAAAAAACCACTAGATCAATGAGTTAGCAACAGTGCATAGGCTGGAGTCGCCAAAGACATGTCTCTATCAGCCTAGATTATTTTTTCCTGAATTACAAAAATAAAACCATTTCTATGTGGCACTGGAAAAGAAGTATGTTGCTGGGTCTGATGAATGATAATAAGAATATTAAGAATGGAGGCTCATTAAAATCCTCAGTCATAAGGACTTGTAACTAGTTCATTCTTTTAAATATTGAGGAAATTTTTCAGCAGAGATTATTTTGGTGTTCACACTACAACTGAATCGATGGTGATTCTTTCCTTCTATACTTCTGTCATGTTCACCAGGTAGCATACAATTGCTTTGAATAAATGTTAAATAATAGTTGCAGTATGAATACTATTTTCACTCTGATGATTTTCATGAGAAAATGGTATGGATTTTTATTGCTATCTCTGTGGGCTGTTGGAAGCATTAAATTTAAATGCAGCATATATGCTATCATACAAAATTTGTCTAGCTATCTTTATTTGCATACTTTGTGATCCTGATAGCTGCTCAGGCCAGTTGCATATTACTTCTGTCTGTGTAGTGTCTACATCTTTGGCACGTGCAGTTATCATCAATATTGAATCTAAACACACTTGAATTTTGTGTAGTGTCTACATCTTTGGCACATGCAGTTATCAATATTGAATCTAAACACACTTGAATTAGACATAGTGGTCATTTAATAACAATGTAGGATCAACTTTGGTTATCATTTAACTAATGTACTCACTGTCTGCTTTTCTTTTCCATGTTCCTTTCTTCTGGAAGTCAAGAGAAGCATTGTGGCAGCAGTGCGCAATCCAAATCACTCACGCTATTCAGTACGTGGTGGAATTTGCAAAGCGGATAACGGGCTTTATGGAGCTCTGTCAAAACGATCAAATTCTACTTCTCAAATCAGGTGAATAGATAAGAGTGAAATATTGCTCATGTTTTGCTGAGCATCTGTAAATTTGGGAAGCAACAAACTGCTGAGAGGAAAGGGTTGTTCAGAAACATTGATGAGCAATGTAGCTGCTATGGGGAGTCAGGTTTGCCTGGGAGAAAATCACATAGGCCACAGGGATAGGAAGGGTTGTAAGTTGTTGGGGGATATTGATGCAGATAGGCAAAAAACTCTGCTTAGGGTGGTACTATTAGTAAGTCAGTGGTCAGTATGAATACTCCAGCCTGTGCATGTTCCTGTTAATATTAAGATCTTGTCTTCCCTTGGCTGATAAATCAAAACACAGTAACTGTGTTTAGAATCATGATGCTTGGATGACTAGGTTGTATGAGATTTCTGATGGTTATTTCTCTTCACTTTACTAATTTTACGATTAAAGGAGATCATGCACATTTTAACTGTCCTAGAGGAGATTAGGAACAAGCTATTGTGGTGTTGAACTGTGAACTACTGTCCTCTCAGGTCAAGCTCAGAGTAATATCTGTTTGCTCTTTAGGGACCAAAACATACAACCCAAAAGTAAGTTTGAACAAAATTTGATAACCCAAAATCTGTTCAGACAGTAGCCCAATATTCTGTTGTTTTGCCATCAAGTCACAGCTGACTCGTGACAACGTTGTAGAGTTCTTCTCAAGGCAACAGACATTCAAAGGTGGTTTGCCATTGCTTGCCTTCATGTCATAACCCTGGTATTCCTTGGTCGTCTCCCATCCGAATACTACCCAGGGTCAACCTTGCTTAGCTTCCAAGATCTGACACGCCTGAGCTATCCAGGTCAGGGCAGTATAATATTATTTCAATGCAAATCTGAAGGCGATCTGGTTTAGAAATTGTGCTTTTTTTAAAAAAAAAGTATGCTTCCAAAAAGTGCTTGAAAGTATCCCAGCATAAATCTGATCACTGTCTGTCTGTCTGTCTGTCTAGGCTGCCTGGAAGTGGTTTTAGTGAGAATGTGCCGTGCCTTCAATCCACTCAACAACACTGTTCTGTTTGAAGGAAAATATGGAGGAATGCAAATGTTCAAGGCTTTGGGTAGGGTTTATTTTTGTTGGTTAGAATTACTGAATAATTTTGATATACATATCTTAACACTACCATATGGGACATTTGAGATCAATGGAATACGGTATAACCCACTGTGGCTACTTCTTTGTTATTCAAATGTTCTGAGTTTTCTGAAGATCCACCTGTTTCCATTTATTGCTCATTTATCTGAACCTCTATCTTACCACTATTTTTGAGGTTTCTGCTGCTGTGAGTTGGGTAAATAGACCTGAAATCCAATTCTATTCAAACTTATTTTTTTCTTCTGATGAACCACTGTGGGAAGTTTGAGCCACATCTAGACTGAAAAGAACTATTTATAAAGATTTAGAATTAGAATACATTTTTCAAAAAAATATATAGGATTGGAAAAAAGTTAGAGTAGGGTCATGCTGAAAACACTGGAGATTTTGTGGGACAATTTCATAGGACTAATGCTATGGTCAAAGATATCAATACCATATTCAACACTGTCAGCTTTCAGAAAATGTAAAGATCAGGTTAATCTGGGCTACTGGGGCTGCTATTGTTGTTGTTTGTTTTTCAGTCACACAGTCGAGTCCGATTCTTCTCGACTATTAGAAGTGTGTGATTTCTTTAACTGGTATTTTTCGGTTTGGAGCTAGTGGACCCCCCCCAAAAAAAATTCAGTATTTTTGAAACATCCCAGATCCCAATACTGCTATGGTATTTGGATCCAGGATTTTTCAGGAATCCCAATTTTTTTTTTGGGGGGGGGGGTTTCCCAATAGATCTGAGAAGAAAAATACTGGTAGAAAAAAAGCCCAATCCTGGGGCTGGCTTGGCTTCTCCTGCAGCATGGTTTAAACTGTGCTCCAAGAGAAGCTGCCCAGGATCTGTATGCCACAGGGAGGTCTCGCCACACTGCACACCCTGGCTGGGATGGCTTCTCCTGCAGTGTGGTTTAACCCGCACTGCAGGAGAAGCTGGCCCTGGGATCTGCTGTGCTGTGGCTAGCAGATTGCTCCCTGCAGAAGCTTCTGGGGCTGGCTTCTCCTGCAGTCTGGCTTAAACTGGGCTGCATGAGAAGCCAGCCCAATCTGAGCTGGTGGGAACAGTATGTTCTCCCGGGCACAGCTGATCCTCGAGCTGTCTTCTGCAGTCCCCTTAAACTTTAGAGAGACTGCAGTAGAAGCCTGACATGGCTGAGAGGTGGGAGCCATCTATTCCGTCTCTCTGCTGTTTTCAGATCTACCAGTAATCAGGGCTGGCTCCGGGGTTTTTTGTACCCTAGGCGAGGCTACCTTCTGGCGCCCCCCCTTATGCACCCACCAATTACAGGGTTGCCAACCTCCAGGCAGGGCTGCAGGAGGGGGGTCGTCTTTGCAGGAGGAGTCCTGATGTAATGGACTTTCTCTTCTCTCTCTCCCCCCTTCATCTGTCAGCAGTTCTCCCGTTTGGACAATGTCTCGGTCAGGGGGTGGCTGCGAGAAAAGCGGGAGGAGGGGGAGGGATAAGCCCGAAAGAAGCTCCCCCCCCTTCCCATCCCATCCGCTTTGCAATGAGGAGGAAACGCGTGCCTGCCTGCCTGCCTGTAGCCCCATGTCTGGCCGTCCGTCTATCTCCTGCTGGGGGAGGAAAAAGGCAGGAGGGGAGGAGACTCACACAAGGAGGGAGTAGTCAGGGAGTTGCTGCATCTCCCGCTCAGACAGCACTGCCTCCGACTCTTCTTCTTGAACCACTGGAAAGTGGGGGGGGAGAGGTCAACTGACATCCCCCCCCATCCCGCTCAGATCAAGGCACTGTGGCATGCAAATGCACACGTGCTCATGAGAGCCTGGTCGGCTCCATTCCCCCCCCCGCTCTCGTCGAGGTGCCCTTTCTTCCCCTCCCTCTCTCGCGGCCACCCTTCTGGCCTTCAAGATGGCACATGCGCAACCAATGACCTCCCGCTCCCAAAGCCCCACACCCGCCCCTTCTGTTTGCCCCTACCTGCCGGAAACGCGGACCACCCCCTGTGCAACTGGGCAGGCATCCTCCAGGCCAGAAATACGGGAAGCCCAATGAGAGAGTTTTCCAGGAGTACCTCCAAAGAGGCCGTTGCTCTCCGAGACCAGGTGGAGAAAGGAGGGGAGGGGAGGGGGGCATGTGCTCCCCGCCGGTGCCTCGGGCCTCCGTCTACGGGCTGGTTGGGCTTTTGGTGGGGGTGGGAGCAGTTTGGCGCCCCTAAAGGCCGGCACGCTCTAGGCGAACACCTAGTTCGCCTAGTGAGCGAGCTGGCCCTGCCAGTAATTCCCGAATATATCTGGGATTGTCTTGGGGGGGGGGTTCCTGAGAAAACCTGGATACATTTGGGAAGCTGAAATATACCTGAGAAATACCAATATTTTTCAGGTATAATTTTGGCTCAGATAGATCCAAATGCACACCCCTAGCTGCTATGTTGTGTAGACTTATTTAAACATATCTTCAAACAGGAGATATGCAGACCAGCATTATTGCAATGTTGAAGTCAGAGTCAAAATAGGGTCATGTAGGTACAGAGATAAACTATATACATTTCATTGCTTGTATGTACCCATTTGTAAAAATGTCTAGAGCATCTGATGACACCATTTCTAGAAGTGATAACAGAGTGCAGACATGGTGCCAGCATGCCAGAACACCCCCCCCCCAATGTTCCCACCTGTGGTACACATGAAATAGTCCAAGCATGAAATAGTCCAAGGGTGTGCAGTTTGGGAAGACTTACATGTTCCCTTGAGCACACATGAATTTCCCTGAAAAACCCAATAATACCTCCCTGGTCAGTTTTAGCTTGATAAAATGGGATAATGGGGAAGCTTCTTCTCCATACACAGTGCACCACAGTCCTAATGCTAATCCTAATGCTAATCAGGCCGGGCCGGAAAAGAAACTGAGGAGAACTCAGAACTCAAAATGTGATTGTGTCTGACGAAGGATGGGGAGAGGCAGTGCTTGACCAGGATCGAAATATACATTCATTTCCTCATAGGGTTAGGGAAAGATATTCGTGTTTAAGGAAAAATTATACGAGATGCATCTTTTTGGACATGATAAATTTGAAGTTGACTGTCTTCTGTGTTATTTGAAGGTTCCGATGACCTGGTGAATGAAGCATTTGACTTTGCAAAGAATTTATGTTCTTTGCAGCTGACTGAGGAAGAAATTGCCTTGTTTTCATCTGCTGTCCTGATATCACCTGGTAATTATGGCTTCTTTATTAATATTCTTTCCCAACCAATTCCCATACAAATGCCACCATTTCAGTAATTTTTAAAGATAATAGCAACTGTTAAAAGGATCATTGAAAGCCAGTGTTGGGAAAGATCTTACTGTGCCTGAGAGTTTGAAGAGCTATTCCCCCAGAGAGAGGAGACAATGCATAGATGGACAAGAATCCTGTATAAGGCAGCTTCATATAACTTCAGGATTAAAGTAAGCATTGCATCATAGTGTTTGTGAGCAATGCTTCCTGTGGCTGGCTTTTTAAAGTTCCTCATAGTACAGAGTGTGGTGGTGCTTCCCTCATTAAATGGGCAAAAGCAGTGATTGTATTACTAGTAGTCGATAAATGTAAAAATACTGGCAACTACAGTTGAGCATGAAGGGTGGAAAAGTCCTACATAGTGAACTGTGAAGTTGGATTAGCAGGGCTGGAGGAAAGTGTCTGTTTGTTGACCAAAAACCTGCTGTATCCGTAGCTAAATTTCTGTTGTCTATAATCCTGTGTATAATTTACTCAGATTCTGCCCCTTAAGCTGTTAGATATACTAGGCTGAATGAAGTACATAGAGATTTTATGTAGATAATTAATATAGGTCTCGGTCACACGGGCCGGAAAATGCAGGGGGGAAGCGTGGCTGTTTGCCCCGGAGCAAAATAATGTGTGGCCGCCCGATCACACGTCCCATCGAGGTCCCGTGGTTAGGGGGTGAGGTGCCGATCACACGGCTATCCTGCAGCGCGGCAAAGAAGTGGCGTGGCGCGATCACAGCAGCAATCACTAGGCGCCGCTTCAATGGCAAACAGGTGTTTTTTTACCGAAGTTTGTGCGCATGCGCCGTTGGGTGTTTTTGCGCATCCTGTGGAGACTTGGGAGGGGGAACCCTTGTTCGCGACAGAACATCAGCGGGCGCCGGATGCCACAGGATTCTACTGGAAATGCGATCAGACGCCTGCCCTTGCCCCAGGGTGTCTGGAAACCAGTACCTCGTAAGTACTAGTTTTTTACTCCGCATCTTCAGTGGGAAGCCACGGGATAGCCATGGGAACACTACGCTTCCCAGATGTTGCAGTGTGATCGCGCCCGGAAAATCCACCTATCATCCATATCTTTAGCGCGGCAAATGCTCTGTGTGACCGGGGCCATAATATTTTTTTTTCTACTTTAGTTTGCCTTGTGAGCTGTAATAAAGTCCAACTGACTGATTATGTGCTTGGGTGAATGAAGTCAGGAGACTTACTAATGAAAGAAAGGGAAGTCAGGAGGCAGAGTTTGGCAAAGAGCTCATGTAAAAGAGTGACGCTTAATAATTTTTTTTAAGAATCAATTATACAAAGAGTGAACAATAATAATATACATAATAATAGAAAAATGACAGTGATCTCCGGAATGTCTCGGTAGATCTTCTTCCGAACAAAGATGTGAGACAAATACTGTCTCTCAGTAATTCATTTCCTCTGGTGACGTTTCAAAGATATCAGTGAAGATTCTCTATGTTCATAATAGCTGTAATATCTAATGGAGCCTACCATGGGCTATTGGTATTGTAATGCAGCCTCAACTACATGGTTCTTAGTAGCTTATCCAGGTGTTCACAGTCAGTCTCCATAAGCAATTTGTCAAATGTATCTCCTGATAGTAGGTGCTGTTCCTATTCAGAAAGCTCCCATCTTCAGGGCATGAGACAGGAGGAAGGAATGAGGACATTCAGCAGCTGTCCTGCATATCTGTTGAGCAGCTGCTCACATTGGCCATGAAAGAGTTCTCTTGGACAGCACAACCATAAGCAAAAGGATTTAGGGAGCAGGAA